CTGCCTCAGGGGTCTTTTTAAATATCTCGTTTCCTAGAAGAACATAACTTAGAGCTTGATACTTGACCTTTCGCTCTGTGGACGCTGTTGGATTCTGTAAGTACTCGACTAAAGGCTTCCTCCAGTCTTTATCTGTTAGGCTGTCTACTGCAAAGATCTCAAAATTTTCTTCATCAGTGTATCCAAACTTTGTCAAGTTCTTTCGAGAGGCCAGTAATCTGTCAAGTTCTTCTCCTGCATATCAACAAAAGCTTGGTCAATCAATTGAGCAAAGTTAGAAAAGTTGAGGAATTATGCAGTGTAATGCCTTGACCACCAGTTGTAAAACTCCTAGGTGCAGAGGTGTGAAGGCTCAAAGTAAACGGAAGTAAGGAGAGATTTGTGGGCATGTCGAGCAAGGTGTGTCGAACTCTCTATGCCATTGTAGACAGTAAGGGGAAGAATCACATGGACTTTCTTATCATACAAACACTTGGGCAAAGTTTGGACCAAACCAAATCGTCGAGAGACAAGATTTGGTTGGTAGGCCATCAAAGTTGTTTGACTCCTTAGAAGGTTGAGTCGATGAACAATGAGTCGAGGGATTAGAAAACCCTCCCAGATAAGCTTCGACTTTGCCTCATATTTCTTGAATGCTGAAGGGAAGGCCCTAGTGAACCATTCAGGACCATATTTCCTCTCTGCGAATGGGGTCATCCTGGGGGTGAACTCATATCGTTTGGCAAACATTTTGATGAAGCTAGAGAAAGATGGCCTAAGTGTCTGCCCTTCTTCACTCGGGGTTACCTTCACTAGTCGAGTCCATTCGACTCGCCTCTCTTTGATGTCTGAATCTTCTTCGTCAACCGTCCCTTTGTTAGGGAGGTTAGTCTCAAATGTGGCATTAAGCCAGAGTTGGAGCAACCAGAAAGGTCCTGACAGCAAAAGATTCCCATTGCTTTCTTGGTCTTTCAGTCGACCAACACCTTCACTCAGAGATTCATACAAGCTGACTAATATCATTTCACTTAGACAAATGCCTTGATTAAGATGTAGTTGGTTGGCTAGAGTGAGGTATTTCCTTGCCACCTGCAGAGATTTGGTACATAACACATAGCAAGAAAGCCACATAGCCAAAAATGATATATGTTTTTGGTCTTCGACTGTGTCATTTTGTTTGGTATGGTAGTGGTTGATAAAGTGGGTGTACGTGTGCTTAGTGGTGGAGAACCCTATGGTGTCCTGAGCATCCACCTCAGGGTCATAAACCAATCCATGTGGTTTCAGCCTTGTGATAGCGGCTATGTCGAAAAGGTTGGGTGTCATCATCCCATAAGGGAGGTGGAATGTATAATGCGTATTATCCCAAAAATACAAGAAGAAGCCAGCAGAGTTGGACAGTAAGTGAGACCTGTCTTCGATATCATAATCAAGTCATAGATCCCGATTTTCTTCCAAGTTTCTGCCTTAACTTTCTCTACCTTGGTTAGCCAGTTCAAGTAGAGGCCAGAATCTTTGAAGTATAGGATTTCTCTAAACAACCTAGACCCATCATTCAAGTACTTTAGGTCTATGTTCTTTAGGGTTATGCTATCATGAGGTTCAGCGATTACCTTGACTTAATATTTCTGCCCTAAGGGTTTGGTTTTACGGTAGGAAGGGAAGAAGTCGCTAATGGTTGAATAATCTGCACCTAAAGTGGATAAAGGATCATATAAAGCTAGGGGTTTACCATAATTGGTCACATGAAATATTACCTGAGATTCGTAGATGTGTCTCTTCTCTTCTTTGAGAGGTTCAAGAATGAACTGTTGATTCTTCACCACCTTGGGTCTGCTCAATGTAGCAAAGGGAGGAAACAATGACACGCTTTTTGGCCCTTTGACCTTCAGGTTTTTCTTTTGATCTTGAGTAGCAGCGGTTGAAGACGCCATTGTTAAAGGTTTGAAGAAAATGGGTTTACTAAAGGTGAAGAGTTTAGAGTGTTTGAAAGAGAAGAAAATGCTTAGTGATTGCTTTGGAGTGGGAAAAGTAAAGATAGTATCTGCAGAAATTATTTATAAAGCGCGTGGAAGTAATAAAAGGTCACTAATCATCATTAAGAGCTAAAAGGTAGTGGGACACGTGGCTTCCCAAGAGTGAAAGTGGGGGCGGTGGCAGTTATTACCTATGCCTACAATCTCATAGATCCTAAGAGAGGTGATGATGGTCTGAGATTTGATGTGATTTCCAAGAAATTATTTTCATAATTGGCCATGACGTCATGGATATGTTTGAAAAGAAACTGAACAGTTTCTTAAGTCGTGGGTTGGTCAGTTATGTTGACACCTATGTAGGGTCGAAGAATGGCGTCGAACATGACACTATAAAAAAATGGCATTTTTCTTCAGCACTGTCAAAAAGGACATTTTTGGGGGGCAATTTGTTAGCTCAGAAATTCGACGCCCATATTAAATTAGAAGTATTGGTTGGAATTTTGAATTCTTGAAAAGGTGTAAAAGGAGTTTTCGACTGGTTCTTCAGGATAAGTTTAAGTCGAAGACACTTACATAAGAAAAGGATGCTTTTTCGGACTTAGAAAATATTTCTAAGAGTTAAGAAGCTCCTTTCGACCGAGAATGATGTCCAATACTAAGAGAATTTGAAATTCAAATAAAGGAGAGAGTAGTTATTCTTGTCCACTCCTGAATAAGACAAGTGGCGCACATCCAAGAGGCAGAAGCGTTCAGCGTAACACTTGTTAGATGTTAATCATCTTAGGAAGTTAACAGCAGTTAATTTTATTATCATAAATAGGGGTTCTAGCAATAGGATTAAGGGTGTTGTGTTCACTTTGTACAAGTCACTTCAAAATTACTCAAAGTATCTGTGTGTAGAGAAAAGAGTCTTGGGAGAATGTACGTGATGTAAAACACCATTTTCTTCTTTAATGAAATTTACTTTCACTTTTTATCAAAAGAGTTTATCTTTTACTTTCCTGCAATTTACATTTTTCAGCATTATATCTTGTTTCTTTTAAGCCTTTCTTTAAAGTCTTCAGCCTTTCTTTCAATTTAACGTTCTTATGCTTTTGTCGAACCATGCTCTTAAATAAACTTTTCTTTATAAACACTGTCGAAGTGTTTAGTCTTTAAAATTTTCTTTGAATTGATATTTGGCACATGTTCTAGAATCAATCTGATCGATCCTGTGAGTCACCAAAGTTAGATTTGAAAGATCAGTGGTTATTTTTCAATTTTCACGGGAAACAAATTGACACGCCCAGTGGGACAGTGCTAAAGTTTATGAATTTTTTTTTAAAGATTTTTGAAAATCTGTATTTATTAGTCTTTCCTTTGAGAAAACTTCGTTGCATGTTATTGAGAAGTGGAAAAGTAGCCAGTACAAACGAAGAAAGACCAAGAAGAAACTACACTAGGAAAATGGCGACAAATTCTAACCAGCCAAATAATCCAAACCCTCGAGGGAGTGGTTCTAATCCTCAGCCTAGTAACACTAATCCTCGAGACATGTCTAGGAACGATGTAGTGCCACCTTCAGCCCTTTCGATAGGAGAGCAAATACTGCCTCCTGTTATGTCTGCAACAATGCCATCAGTGGTGGGTTCAGGGTCGACAAATATAAAGGGTTACACTCAACCTTTATTGGAGTACGTTGGCCACAAGCATCTAAGCCCTTTCTAATACTAAGACTCCTATTTATAATAAGTCGAAATAACTGTCTTCAACATACATTTCTCCAAATGCTGACACGTTTCACCCTGCATGCCTTCATTTCACCACGACTCTCGACGCGTCTTTCCTGAGAAACGGATAAGGACAAAAGACAGTTATTTGTCCATATTTTAAATTTCAAACTTCCGTCGAAGGAAGGCTTAAAACATCCTTCGTTGAAGTTGCTTTTCCATACTTAGAAATACTTTCAAGTATTATCCAGACATCTCCTTCATGGAGATTACTTCGACCAAGCTTCTCCCAGACTCCTGTCGAAGTCAAAAAAATTCGAGAAACTTGATTTTCACTTAATGTCTTTGAACAAAAAGTCTGGAGTCGAAATTTCTAGCCAACAGGGTGTTACAAAGATTTCTCACTTATAAACACGTGTTCATGTAATACATTTCTCGATGTGAGACTCTTAACACTCCTCATCACGCATATGATTAGACAATTGAAACGTGAAAATAAATGTTGGGTGATTTGATAACGAAAACTTAATAGCAAGTGGCCCACTAGATCATAAACCAGACTCTAATATTCTCTCTGTCTCACAATAAGTGTCATATTTCTTATTTTTATTTGTCTCAAATTATTTGTCCCTTTAAACTAACAATGTGATATTTATTATTTTTTTACACCTACTTATCCTTATTTATTGTATTTTAAATCATGTAACTACTTAAATACTTATTATTAATAAGATTATTTTAATAAATAAAATTTGTTTTATCATTGGATCCACAATTAATCATTATCTTAAAAAAATGTGAAAATCTCGTCTTTAAAATACCAAATATACACATATCATTAATTAATTCAATACCCTTATGAGCCGTGTATTTATACAGAATAATAACTAATGCTAAATAAAACTAACTCACTCCCTATAATGTTGGACATAATTAACCCAGTAATTATTTGTCAGTAGATTCTAACATAAGCTTTGCACAGATTGGTTCTATAAGCTACCATGATACGCTATAAAAGCAAGTTACAAACAAAACTAATCGACAAATCATAATCTATTTTTAAAATCTATTTTAAATACATAAAAAAATGTTTGTCATCATAAGATAAAACTTATAAGCACATAATATAATGAGATTTCATGAATGAATATGCTATTGCTTGCTCAATTTCAAGAGTTTGACTATATGATGTTTTTTGTACATTTAGATTTATCACATTAACACAACATTGATAAAAAAATTTCTAGTCTTAAGTTTCAAAAACCTATGATAGCTCATGGATGATATCCATCTTATGAACCTAATCGTAAGTGCTAAGTTTGAAAAATATTTAATATCACTGCTCCAACGTCAAGGGAGCATTCTGGAGTGAAAATCTCTCAACTTTTTGAATTGAAAACTTGAGCTCCTGCTGGATGTTCAACCTTGAAGGAGATAACACAATGTCTTTCCATATAGATCCTGCTTCACTTGTTGGGTTAGGATGCTTGTAAAGCTCATATATAGAATCAGCATCTTCATTCAACCTAGCAACTCTCTTCAAACAATCAATTTCATCCGGATCAACTAGCAATGTCTTGTCTCTGTCTTTCCATCCTATCAACTTTACAAAAACAATCTCGTCAATACTAGGTTATGACGTCGGATTTTATAATTAAAAAAAAAAATTTACCATAACAATAATATTAGTTGTCATTTACTAAAAAAAATTCAAAAATAGATAAGTTGAGTCTCAGACACTCATCAGAACCAAACAGGACCAAACAGATATAAGGTTCAGAGAGCGTCGGAATGTTCCGACTAACCATATATTTGATCATAATAGAAAGATTAAGAAATAAGGTAAAAGAAAATATGTGTTACTTTGGGTGGGCCTTCCAAAGCATTTGTGCTGTATAGCCTTGCATTATCTACTAGTTGACAATAAGTCATAAACGCATCTGCAAATCTCTTGTGTGATTTCAATTGTGACTTCACTCTTACTGCCCTTCTACACATGATAGCTCTCCTGTTAGGCATTCAAAATTATGTGTTAGTAGAGTCAGTTTAGAAGAATCATACAACTCGAATCATTCAAGAAAATCCGAATTCAAATTCTAACAGAAACAATCCTTAACCAGACTTAACTTACCTTTCGACCGAACTTTCTACTATCAGAGTCCATTTCCCCGAGAACGAGATGGGGAAGAATAAAATAAATGTCAAATATGAAGGGTAATAATGAAGTGAATCTACCTTATGCCTCTAATAACAGCAAGGTAAGCATCACATACTACTCCAACAAGCTCTATCCTATATGGTTTCCTCTTTTTGCCACCAATTTGTTCAGGTTCTTCATTTTCAATTCTTTCCCAATAGCTCTCTGTTGTTGTTCCATCATTATGCACTTTGTAACCAGCTCCCATTCGGTAACGACGACGGTGGACATTCCTGGCCATTGTTATTGTTTGCACAACAAATGGTACCCAAGAGAATGTCCCATCCATAATCACATCTCTTCCTTCATTCAGTGCCGTTACCAGAAGCGATGAGGCCGCATCCGTTGACGATTGGTGTACCTATTTGCAACAACAACTTTATCATGCAGTAACTACATGAAATCCAAATACAACAGAAAACAAAAGGTCGTCTTTAAGGGCATAAGGGCATGCAAGGCAGATTATTTGTTATGGTTAAAATAGGGCTCCTATTTGTTTTTCCACAACAATTATACTACACTGGACCTTTGAAAACTTAAGACGGTTTTTTTGAAAAAACATGAAAACAAAACAAAAAATGAAAAGTCTCAATCTTCTCACCAATTCAGCCATTCGAATCATGTCATTATGATGACCTCGTGAGCTAAGGGCCTTATAGATAACATCTGATTCTTTGAATGCATCTGCCTCAATGATAACAGCATTGTTAGCTGCTCCTACCCAAAAAGGTCTGTTCAAATTCCATTCATAAAGGAAACAACAGCATTAAGTTCTATTTATTTGTTAATGATTCATTTTTGTTCATGCAAATATATAAATGATAATTTCTCTTACTCTTTGAGAATGTCTTTAAGAACAGTGCTCTTCCCAGCTCCCATACCACCACCCATGAAAAGGAGGACAGGACTCCTATCACTGTGAGCCACCGGAGCCATCACCTCCGTGCATCGATTGTCATCATTCGATACGAGTCCCATTGCTCTCATCTCTTCTACTAATGTGTTGAAAACTCTAGCCACCTTCAAATTCTTTGTTACCCTTTCAACCCTTTGATCCCTGTACAAATAATTGTATAAGTGATTGACCTCAAGTGGTTAACGAACTTCAGTTAGAGACAAATTATTCAGAAAAATCCGAGTTCAAATTCTAACTAGAAAAATCTTTAACTAAATTTTATTATCTTCTGGTCGAACTTCAAATTATGAGTCTTATTCCCCTAGAACGGGAAAGTTAAGATCACAAATATCATTTTCATAAGATGATCCTCATATATTTATTTCAAAATTGGTTTGATTATATTTTTTTAGGGAATAATGTGCAATAGTAAACACACCTAGTTGCTGCCATAACTATGTGTTTGAACTTCTTTTTTGGCTCAGTGTCAGAGCTCAAGACCTGCAATGCCACACAAAAAAAGTTGTTTTACCTAGCATACTCTATTATAGAACCATTCAATTAATGTAATTTATATAAGCAGGACGATAAAGGGCAGGTATGAGTCCGCAAATTCTAGCTCGACCGGTAGAACCCGATATTGTTAGGTTGAACGTCATTATCAGAGTTCGAACCCTGTATGATTGATTACCTGACTTATCAATAAATCACCAAGGCTCCAATGGAATGCAAAGTAACTAAGAATACATCTCTCAAACTCCTCCACAAGCTTAACAAAAAGTGAATCCGCATTTTGTTCATTTTCAAAGAAAGCATAGATATCATCTTCACATCCATCAGATTTTCTTATGTATTCAGAAGCCAATTTACATAAATTAGGACAGTTTCTTTTATCTTTGAACCCCATTTGTCTAGCTGCAACAAATCAAACATTATGTATAAATCATAGATCCATTGATATATATCACACACATGAATTAATCATTCATATTAAACTAATTACATACCGACGTAATGAGAGAATCTCTCAAGCTTTGGAGTCTGGCCCGACTTTGATAATCTCAAACGCGGAATGATCCTCCCATCTCGAAGCTTTTTTAGGCGATAATGCATTGCTGCAGCAATTATCAACCCAATGGAAGAGGCCACCAAGATCTGTGTGACACTAGGCTTTCCATTATACTCTGCATATGATGTATTACTTTGCATGAGCAATATGTATAACATTATCCATATGAATAATAAAAAAACCCATAAAAACAATGATTTCATTTCATTGTACCTTTCTGCATTTCGGTTAGAAATCAAAGACAGTTAGATTGAGACCACCGGAGCTATACGAGAATGTGGGGGATCGATCACTCTGTGGTGTGTCTCATTGGTTTCCGAAGAATTTGATTTTCTTGTTAGCATGTTGAAGGAAATTCATAACACGTGGATGTACTTACGGTTTTGCATGTTCAACATATTAATTGATCTCATTTTGAGAAATTTATTACTTTTTTTAAAATTATTAATGTATTTAGATTAATTTGATTTTCGTTTTTTTTAAACCAATAAAATGCTATATTATAAAGTAAAAGAAAAAGATAATTACACTTTGGGTTAGACCCCATCCATGCAAGAGAAAAGAAAAAAACAAAGAAAATAAAAATAGAAGCAAATAAAAAAGAGTAAAATTAAATCAATTCGACTATCCCATTTATATATTTTTTTGGAAGATCGCTATCACGTTGAGGTGTTCGAGGATTATGATACTTATAGATAGACTATGACAAAATCCTCTCCTAAGTTGAACGTACGTTGTGAGATATTGGATCGAACTCTAGTATGGTCGAAGTCTGTTCACAAGTAATGCGTGTTGTAGTCGAAGTTTGTTCTAACATGCATTAGTCTATATTGCTAGGTTTGTTAGCATATTGAATTGGTCTTACTTCTAAACCCAATTGTTTAAGTTAGTTTGTAATGGGTAATTGTTAAAAAACCCATTAGGTTAGTGTGCTATTTTTCTTATAAATAGCATACTAGTCTCTCATCTTGTATAAGGAAACATAAGAAGATAAAATCCTAATTCAAGAGAGAGAAGTTATTTGTTATTCTTGTATATTTGTAATCTTGTTTGATAGAGAAAGGAAAGAATAGTAGTTTATAACCAATCTTTGTTGTTTCTTATTCTTCTTCTTGCTTGTTTTCTTTGTTAACCCTAACCTTTGTGTGTTTCTTGAATATAAAGAAACCGTTAATATTTTGTTTCAAGACATTCTATTCACAATAAATTGGTGCGGTGAGCGTGGAGAAGATGTTTTCAACAAAGTATGAAATTGAAAAGTTCACTGGAGTGAACGACTTCGGTCTGTGGCACTTGAAGATGAAAGCCCTACTGGTTCAACAGGGTTGTTTAGAAGCGTTGAAGGGAGAGGCAGCCATGGACGATGCGTTAACGACAAAAGAAAAGACGACCATGATTGAGAAAGCCCACAACACAGTATTGTTTAGCCTTGGTGATAAGGTTCTTCGACAGGTACCAAAGGAGACTACAACATTGGGGTTATGGATAAAACTTGAAAGTTTGTACATGACCAAATCTTTGGTGAATCGATTCTACCTGAAACAAGCTTTGTATTCATTCAAGATGACTGAAGATAAAGTGTTGGCTGAGCAGTTGGATATGTTCAACAAGATGATTCTTGATCTTGAAAATATTGATGTGAAGATCGATGATGAAGATCAAGCACTGTTGCTGTTGTGTGCTTTGGTCAGAACACATGCTCATTTCAAAGAAACTCTCTTGTATGGAAGGGAGTTACTGAGCTTTGAAGAAGTTCAATCAGCCTTGTATTCTAAGGGCTTGAACGAATAAAAGGAGCATAAACCTTCGACGGTAGGCGAAGGTTTGGCCGTTAAGGGAAAATTCTTGCGAAAGAATGGTAAGTTCGACAAGAAGAAAGGTAAAAGTCAGCAGAAGTCTTATAGTGGCGAAATATCTGGTATTCGATGTTATCACTGTAAGAAGGAGGGACACACAAAAAAGGTGTATCCTGAACACCTGAAAGATCATGGAGGTAAGGATAATGACAATGTAACCATTGTTCAAGATGACTTCGGCTCATCTGATGTTCTTGTGGTTTCAAGTGGCGACTCAAGAAAAGAGTGGATTATGGATTCATGGCAGAGAATTGTGGATCGGTGCTATGTGATCAAGATGATGGATCGGTGCTGTTGGGAAACAACAAATCTTGCAAAATTACAGGTATTGGATCTGTGAGATTCAAGCTCCATGATGAGTCAATAAGGTTATTGACTGAAGTCAGGTACGTACCTGATTTGAAGAGAAATTTAATTTCTCTTGGTGAATTTAACAGGAAGGGATATGTTTTTAATAAGAGAAAAGTATCCTAAGAGCCGTGAAGGGATCGAAGGAAGTCTTGAGAGACGTGAAGAAACAAGGCTTGTATATCCTTGAGGCTGAGGTTGTAAGTGGTTCGACAAATGTTGCATCCACGAAATCTGTGTCGAAGATAGAATTATGGCACATGAGATTGGGCCATGTAAGTAAAAGAGGCCCGGTAGAATTGGGGAAGTAGAACCTGCTAGGAGGTGACAAAGTCAAAAGATTAGAGTTTTGTGAATCTTGTGTATTTGGTAAATCCTGTAGGGCGAATTTTAACAAAGGAAAGCAAAGAACACATGGATCCCTGGATTACATTCATGCTGATCTTTGGGGGCCAGCAACGAATCTTTCACACTCAGGTGCAAGGTATTTTCTGTCCATTGTAGATGACTATTCCAAAAAGCTATGGGTATTCATCTAGAAGACGAATGACGAAACTTTTGAGAATTTCAAAAGTTGGAAGGTTTTGGTCGAAACTCAAACTGGCAGAAAGGTTAAGTGGTTAAGAACCGACAATGGCCTTGAGTTCTGCAACGAAGCGTTCGACAATTACTATGTTGAGTCTAGGATTGCAAGGCATAAGACTGTAGTAGATACTCCTCAACAAAATGGCTTAGCTGAGAGATTCAATCGAACAATCCTTGAAAGGTTTAGGTGCATGTTGGTTAGTGTTGGATTGAAGAAGGTGTTTTGGACGGAGGCCGTTACGACAACAACTTATCTGATAAATAGATGTTCCTCGACTGCCTTGGGAATGAAGACACCTAAAGAAGTTTGGTTGAGACATCCACCCAGTCTCGACAGACTGAGAGTATTTGGTTGTGTGGCCTATGCTCATATTAGGCAAGGCAAGGTCAAACCTAGAGCTCTGAAACGCATGTTCTTGGGATACCTTGAAGGAGTCAAAGCTTAAAGGCTATGGTGCTTAGAGCCAGGTCACAGGAGGTGTATCACTAGTCGAGATGTAGTTTTTAATGAAGCAGAGATGACTTTTAAGAAAAATGATGATGCAGACGAAGAGCTGGAACAGGGAGAGATTGTTGTTGAGGTGGAACATGTTGATGCTGAATTGCGTATCCCATATATAGTCGAAGAAGACGCAGAAGATGTTTTCGAAGAAGAGGAGACTGATAATGACTACCTGCTAGTAAGATACAGGTCGAGGAGAGCCATCAAGCCACCTCAGAGACTTGGGTATGCAGACTTTATAGCTTATGCCTTAATCTCTGCAAGTGAGGTTCTAGACGAAGAACCTAAAGACTATAAGGAAGTTATGAGGAGTCAAAAGAAGACTGAATGGATGAAGGCCATGGATGATAAGATGAAATCTCTTCATGATAACAACACCTGGGAACTAATCAAGAAACCTGCTGGAGCCAAGTTAGTCAGCTGTAAATGGATTTTCAAAGTTAAAGAAGGAATCAAAGGAGTGACATCAAAGAGATACAAGGCAAGATTAGTCGTTAGGGGGTTCACTCAGAAAGAAGGTGTCGACTTTAATGATGTGTTCTCTCCTGTTGTGAAACACATATCCATTCTAATGTTGCTTACCACAGTATTATAGTTCAACGTTGAATTGGAACAGGCTGTGAAGACTATGTTCTTGTATGGTGATCTAGATGAAACAATTCTTATGAGGCAACCTGAAGGGTATGTCGAAAAAGGGAAGGAAGATTATGTGTGCAAACTGAATAAATCTTTATATGGACTGAAAAAATCTCCTTGACAGTGAAATAAGAGATTTGACAAGTTCATGGCACGCATAAGTTTAATTAGAAGTCAGTTCGACCACTGTGTTTACTTCAGATTTCGACCTAGTAATTCATTTGTTATTCTGTTTCTTTATGTGGATGATATTCTCATAGCAAGCAATGATGTCGAAGATTTAATGAGGGTGAAGGCTGAACTTAATAAGGAGTTTGACATGAAGGATCAGAGAGTTGCGTCCAGGATTCTTGGGATTGACATTCGAAGAGATAGAAAGTAGTCAAAATTATGCTTATCTCAAGAGGCATACCTACGAAAGATTCTCGAAAAGTATGGTATGTCAAATTCAAAGCCTGTTGTGACTTCGACAAACGCTCAATTCAAGTTAAGTATAGATCAGTGTCTCAACACTGATGTCAAATGAGCTTATATGAATAGCATTCCATATGCTAATATAATGGGTTCTTTGATGTATGATATGGTCTGTACTAGACCCGACATAACATATGCAGTAAGTCTCGTAAGCTGGTACATGAAGAATCCTAGAAAGGCTCACTGGCAAGCATTGAAATGGATTCTAAGGTACATAAATGTGTCTCTGAATAGAGTCCTAATTTATGGTGGAGCCTTAGGTGAAGATAGTAAAGAAGCAATTGAAGGATATGTCGACTCTGATTATGCAAGTTGTATGGATTCCAGAAAATCTATTTCTGGATATGTGTTCACTATGTTTGGGACAACAATCAGTCGGAAAGCTACACTTTAGAATGTCGTTGCCTTATCAACCACTGAAGCAGAATATATCTCCCTAACTGAAGTTGTGAAGGAAGCGTTGTGGCTTGAAGGTTTTGCAAAGGAGCTGAAACTTCAAGGTCGAGTTATCACTGCTAAATGTGATAGTTAAAGTGCAATACACCTGTCGAAGAATTCAGCCTATCTTGAGCGAACCAAGCACATTGATGTGAGACTGCATTTCTCTAGAGGGGTAATCGAGTGTGGAGAAGTCCAAGTGCTGAAGGTTTCGACATATTATAATGTTGCTGATATGATCACCAAGACGTTGCCCAGTTGTAAGTTTTTCCATTGTATGCAGTTGATAAAGCTGCATGAAGAAAGCTAGTTTCTTGATGTTATAGAGTTAGATCCTCGGTGGAGATTTGTGAGATATTGGATCGAACTCTAGTATGGTTGAAG